TGAAACCGCTAAAATTTTAAACTCACTCCCACACATTGTATTTTGAGGAAAAAAAAATATTTTTCCAACACACAGCTTAAACATCAAGCAAAATCATCTGAAAACACAAGGTTTTATTCCTTAAAAACGTGTAAAAAACACTACTTTTGCTATGAAAATACTATTTTTTCACTGCTGCAATACTAACCGTAGTTGGTGTGGAGGAAAGAAAATTCCCTTAACCTTCAAAAACACTCGCTGAAACCATTGTTTACTATTTTTTAATGTTGGAAAGCATATGAATATAACAACTTAATAAGGAACAACTAAAAAAAGGACACTTATTCTAAAAGCATTAATTAAAACTCATAATCTGTGATTTTTAACAAAGCTCCATGGCTTTCATAAGTCATGAAATACAATATTTCTACTCATGAAATTTACATGAGGAACATCAATCAAATTCAGCTGAAAAAGTGCAAAAATATAAAAATCAAATCAGTTTTATTTTATTGGTTGGTTGTAATTGTTATTTGAATGTGTGTTAACAACCAGATTAATAGGCTGAAGAATTAGTAAAGATAAAAGAAGGAATATTGTTGTACGTCATCCTTCCTTACAGTTACTTTATGTACAATTGATGTATCAGCAAACACATTTTCCAGGTCCCACGATGCCACGAGCAAGTACTATGGCCATCATGTGAAAAGACTAGTAGTGACGTCATGCATACACCAGACCCTGAAAAACGTTTGTTCCTTACAAGATACGTGCACGCATGTGCATGTGAAGATAATTTCATACCCCAGAAAACAAGAATTTTCAAATCTCAAACAGGTTTCTCTCTCTTACATTTATTCAAACAATTTTAATTTAGGTTATGTACTGTACAGTGTTATGATTTCGATAATATTAAAAAAAAATTTTTTATATTTGGAAATACACGAAAAATGTGTAAGTAGTCATGGGCTATTTTTTGAGCCTACTTTGATGCCATTAACAGACTTCGCCTATCTTTTTTTTTTTTTTTTTTTCTTTCTTCTGGTCCTCTCAGTACTCTCAGTATATTGCCCACTCAGAACAGCGACCGACGGGAGAGTTCTTTTGTTTTGGCTCAAGAGGTGAAAAAATGAAATATGGCCGATATTTTAAATTCACAATAACTTTTTCTCTAGCAATGTTACCAAAACAGATTTAACATTACTGTATTAGGGCACTTTTTTATGTAGATTAGCATACGAGTGATAAAATTGCAAAAATTTAAAAATTACTAAAATACAGTGGGTGATCGGACAACGAACAGATTGGTTAACACACACTTTCGCAAAAGATTTTTATGATCGGACAACGAACACTTGACTGAACAAACACAAGGAGTGACATAACATAACGAAAGTAAGTAATTGGAAAATTTAAAGATGAACTGAATGGAGAAAAAATGTTAGAATTTACTGGATTATGATCTTAAATGCACAGCTATAGAACTGATGATTCAGTAAGTAAAAAATTAAAAGGAATCAAGAAGGCTGTGTTGAAAAAAGAAAATCTGTTTTTGAAGATTATAAAGCTTGTTTATTTGAAATCAAAAAGAGTTCTTTCATAAACAAGCAGTAATTAGAAGCCACAAACATGATATCTACACAGAAGAATTAAATAAATCTCTTAGCTGGAATGATGATGATAAGAGTTTTGATTCCAAATTCAACTGATATATATGCCTGGGGCCATATAGGAATTACTTCTTAATACCTTGTTTCTATAAGCAATGATTTCCTTCATTAGATGCTTTCACATAAGCTCTGCTTATTTTGCTTTTAAAAAATCATCAGGAATTGAAATTCTTTTAAATTTTTCATCATCTAATTCTTCTTCATCTATGTCAATTTTTTGTTCATTAATTGAACACATTCATCTGGTTTAAGTGTTTTACTGTCTTTTAAAGTTAATGATAATGATATTCCTGGAATACTCACTTTTGCTTCTCTTTGCTTCTCATTATACTTCTTTGCTAAAGCATTATGTTCGTTCCATTCTTTTTGATATGCCTCTAATTTATTAATGATATCCTTATATTTTTTTTATTCTTTTGAATTGAGGCACTTAACATTATTTCTTTACAATCTGATTCACACATTTTAGAAAATAAAATAAACAGTGAATGGAATTGTTTTAATGCTTGCAATGGCGAGAATACTGATACTGAATTTTCTCAGAATTTTGATATTAGAAATAGAAGAACATCCAAAGATAAACTGCCAAACTGATGGTAAAACACTCCTAGACTTTGTACAAGATAATCAATTAATAATTTTGAATGGTAGAATAAAGGGAGATATTCCAGCAGAATTTACTTTTGTCTCCCCAAATGGAAAAATTGACGATAAACTATGTTATTTGCTCAGAATTTATGATAGATTACTGTAAGTCTCTGACAGTTCTGGAGGATGACTTATTGGATCACTTCCCGATTCAACTACGAGTTGAAATACTACAAAAAGGTATAAGAAAAAAAAATTATCGAAAAGCAACTCCATACATTAAGCATTGACTATAGAACTTACAATAAATGGAAATTGTTAAGAGAGTTCCAAAATATAAAAAATTGATGAAATATTAATCTTAGAGGAACATAAAAAGCCAATAACGAATTACTTGAGACTTACAACAAAATTAGAAGAATACAAATTTGGGAAATGCTTAAGTACCTACAAACAAACATAAGTGTGAATGGTAAGACAATGTTATATTCAAAATATTAAAAAACAAAAGAGTTTAAAAGCCTTTAGGAAAACTAATACAAAAGAATCACTAATGAAATACTTACAAAATAAAAAAAAACAAATTTAATTACAGCAAAAAAAATGATGTATTTTTCAAAATATCAGCAAATGAATCAAGAGATAAGAGTTTTCTGGTCAACAATTAATGGCTTTCGCAAAAGGAAAATCAGACTATAGTGTGCATATAAGAGTAGAACATGACAAGTGGATTAAATATTTTAAAGAATTTTCTGAAAATTATTTGATAAACCATAATCAAACACAAATGAAATTTAAGATATCGCAAGTAAATAATCAAGCAGAGATAATTAAGGTGGAAGAAGTCCAGGATCAAATTAAAAAACTAAAAAGATAAATCAACACCTGGTTCAGATATGATACCCAATTCACTTATTAAAATATTTCCTCTAGAGCTCATCAACTACTTGACCAAACAATTCAACAAATTTTATAAAATCAAATTATACTTCCGGATAAATGGAATGAAATAATTTTCACAATGATATATAAACAAGGCAAAAGAGACGAACCTTCAAACTACAGACCAATAGCATTGTTATCGAACCTTCAGAAAATAGTCACATCAATTTTAGCTGATAAATTTAATATTTGGACAGCCACAAATAACTATAGGAATGCCACGCAATATGCCTTTGTGGACAGAGGAGGAACACAAACAGCACTTTGTTTTAATGGCATTAATTAAAGAACAATTAGTCAAGAAAAAAAAGGGCAAAGACTGTCTTTAGATGTAGAAAAAAGCATATGATTCAATTAGTATAAATGAATTACAGAAAAAATTGAAAAAACAAAGCAGACGAACACCTGATAAAAATGATAGGTTTGTTGTTTGGGAGATACGAGACGATAATTAAACAAGATAATAATGTCTGGTCACTGTTTATAACGGTGGTCTTCTACAGGGAGATCCTCGGTCTCCGTATCTTCCTATCACTTACCTACCTTCCTCTCCACCTCATAGAATTATAGCCCTCCTTGTTAGAAATTTTGAAGTCATTAATCACGAGTTAAACCGCAGAATAACAGTTTAACTGGTGTCAGGAATCCTGAGTGGAGACCAGTGATTTCACAATAGTCTTGTCTCTGCATATTCATAAACTCATATCTTAGCCATCCTAGGACAGAGATTGGATTCCCCAAATCCATGCCGAGTAAGTGGTCAGAAAGGATTAACCCCTGGTCCCCGGCCAATCACAACTTCATTTCCTTTGATTGCTGTGTGGCCAGGCAGTCAGTAAAAGGCTAGCATATCCTGTGTCTTGGAGAGCCAAACAGATTGAAAACAGATCTTCAGTAAAGGTTTTCCACGAGAAGCCTGCAGCATCAATACATATGAAAGCTGCTGGTACTGTTTTGAAGCCAATAATTATAAATTATGTATTAGGTATTGAATGGCTGCATTGAGACCGATGTTCCAAGAACAATTATTTCATAATTATGATATACATAATTTGGGAGTTGTTGATTTTGGATAGCTATGGTCAATTAATTAAAATCATTTCTGCTGCTGGGTAGAGTCAGAGTAATGATGCATGTACAGTACAGGTGGCAGATTTGTTGCTTGTAGGTTTGCATGTAAATAGTAGAGATGGGGGTTCCTATGAGGGCCTTAGATGAAGGAAGGCTTCTGGTAGAAGTGAGATTGTTAGCTGATAAGAAAAGGAATATCTTATAAGTTTGGAATTTCGGATAACTAAGGAAAGATGCAGTCTTCATAGAAAAAAAAGGTGATTCTATTGATTCTGCATATAGACTTGGTATTGGTGCGGAGAATAAGATTTCATACATTTTATGTATGAAATCTTATTCTCCACACCAATACCAAGTCTATATGCAGAATCGATTCAATTTCTATACATTGTACTTCAAATGAAACTTTTTAATAAAAAACAACTATCAATTTAAAATTAAATATCTGAAATTCTTAATTTTATCTTCAAAATATATTTTGTGTTACTTTGATTAACTGAATAAGTTAAAATTAAAGTCCACAAAAATATTCATGTAAATCCACACATTTCAAATTTCCCACAAAATAAAAACAATGAAATTTTTTTCCTTCAAAAAGTTCCATTATTTATTAAAATAGATGTAAAAATTTCACAGCTTAAACATTTCAGTACTAACTTGAAACTAGTAAAACTCAATTTAAAAGAATCAAATATTGTTTAAAGAATAACAAATCTTTAGATTTTCAAAAATTATTAAAAAAATCATTACCTGTACACAGTACCCAACTGTATTTGGTGAAAGGAATCAATTTTCATTAGAAGACCCTAAAATTTTAATAAATAAATAAATATTGGCACTTTAGGATTTCTCCCTTTAAAAATAACTTACATTTTGAATATCATAATGCAATCCTCTAATTGCGAAACCTGGTGTATATTTTAGTTTCTCTATTTCTTTTGGATACTGTAAAAAGAAAATCAATATAAAATGATTACAAAAAGAAACAAAGTATCTTAAAATCTTAAAACTAACTTAATATTAAAAAGAAAAAAAGAAGAAGTTTTTCAGAATCTAAATATACACAATAAAGGAAAATTGTTTTAGAAAAAAAAAGGGGTCTTCAAAATTTGAACCTACATTCAGGATAATGTTCTAAATTTTTCAAAACTCAGCCAAAATTATTCAGAAAAAACTTTTCATATTTGTTTGATTGGAATCAGAGAAAAGAATTTAGTTAAAATTTTTTTTACCATTTGCACTGAAATCTTTTGTAAAGCAAACTAATCATTCTTAAAATGGAGAAATTAAACTCTTCAAATGTTTTTTGCACTGATAATTTGCATAGTTACAATGATTCAAATAAAACTTTGAAAAGTCATTGAGATTAACTTTTAAATTTAACATTTAACAAAATTATCAAAATAAATTAGTTTAAATTTGGCTCATTAAAAGTGTGATCAGAATACTCAAGTAGTGATCAGTTTTCTATTGATACTTAAAGACAAACATAAGTACAAGAGAAAAAAAAATTACAAATTAATGTTTAGATTTACAGTCGACCCCCCTATAAGATATAGATACGTTCCAATTTATTAGGAATCCGATTTCTTACAAGTCGTTCCAATCACAGCCCGACACGTGTCAAGTTTACGGACTACGGCTGATTGAAAGGTTTTCTTCCATAAAATTAATAGATTCTACACTAACCGACTCAACATTTCCAAAATACGTATATTTTTTCATAGTTTTATAGGAATCGTAATTATAGGGACCGTAATTATAGGGGGGGGTCGACTGTACTTTAAATATTAATTAAAAAAACAAAATTTTAAACCTACTTTAAATTTATTAATCAGCCAGTCTCTACCAAGATCATATATGAGATAGTGGAGAGATTCTTTATATACTGCTAAAGTGTAGTCATAGTCAAAACCATATACTTTCACTTCTGCAAGATTAAGCTCATTATTGGCAAAAACTCCACGTGGCTCAATGTCTGGTGGTGGCATTTGCACTGATGGAAAATGGAAAATATTTATTACTTCAGATGTTTAATTATAAAAATTATTTTTTTTAAATTCATTATAAACATATAAATATTATGGGGGTAATAAAGCAACTCCACATCTTCTGTAATCTTTCCAGCAAAAAATTTTTAGCCTCTAAGGGGCCTATGTTAGTTTTCAAACATTTCTCTTATTGAAAATGTTTAATGGAAAGAGTATGGAAGATGTGAAGTTCAAATCAATAACTTATTTATATTATGCATTATTATAAACACCCTACTGTAACAGGCTGATGTAAAACATCAATTTAACATATAATAAATTCAAACAGAAATATAAATATAATAGTTGCTAATAAATTGTCTTTTTTTCTATTATTAACAACATAAACATAATTCCATTTATTATAAACATGAAATATTGATATTAATATATCTTATTAATTTGTTACAAAAAATCTTTTTGTGTAATTATATAAAAATTTTAAATTGTTGGGCTGTTTGCTGTATGGAAAAAATGGTACATAGAATTCTCGTTGGCTGCAAAATCTAAATCACCGAGATTATATATCTTTTTCGTATATCTTGAGCCTGTTTACAAGTACAGAACATATGCATTTTAGAAAGAATCTCATCACATCTTTGACTGCAAATTTTCGAAAATTATATATAAAATGTTAATTATTAACATTTCCCTGTTTAGCCTTAATTGAACAAAAGAATTTTTTAACATTAAAAACGGTAAGTCCGTGTGCATATAGCCATTGATAAAATGGGTATTCTAAAATTAAGTTATACCGAGATGGACTTATGATTTTGCAGATCATTAATGTCTTGGGTCAGGGAAATTTCCAAGGTATTCGGAATTAGTCGAGAATTAAGTCAGTAACTCATATCAGATTTCATCATGAATAATAGATTTGGTTTTTCAATATATCCAAACATAATAACTAACTAATTGACTAACCCAGTTTCTTCTCAGCGTATCCACGAACGACTTTTGATATAGTAATCTTAATAATAAAACAGGTAAATTTGCACTCTTATCCGGTTAAGAAATCTAATATATCTTTTAACAAAAAAAAGGACCTAGTTTAAATCTGTACAATTCAAGATGAAGAGCACAACCAGGAATATTATATTCAAGTGAAAAAACTTTGCAAATAAATTTATTCTGTATTATCTCTAGATTATGGAAAGCATACAAACTCCAGAGCAGTGAGGCATAACTAAAAGCATTTATAATTAAAAAGAGTTAAACAATTTAAACTGAACTCCAATGTTCCTTAATTTCATCTTAGAAAATAGTTTCACTGTATTATTAATCAAGGTGATGGATTTAATCTTGGCTCTTTTATGCTGCTTTTCAAACGACAATGAGGGATTCAAAATTACACCCAGGAACTTAATTTCTTGGACTATTGTCAGCTCTTCATTATTGAGATAAAAGGTTGTATATGTTTTTTTGGAAGTCTGGTTCTATTTTGAAATACCATAATATATGATTTTTTTGGATTAAATTTTATCAAATGTAAAACCATCATCTTCCCTAGTAAAGCAAAGCATTTAAATCAAACATGTAGAAATTGAACAGATATGGGGACCAAGGATCTCCTTGTAGTAAGCCTCAATTGATTTCGACAGCCAGCCATAAGATATTGTTTTATCATAAATTTATATTGGCCAAATAGTAATCCTACCACTTTTATTACTTTATCCTCTGCATGGTATTTTACCATTTTTCTTTGTAGGTTCAAAATTATTACTGAGTCATATGCCTTTTCTATTTCTAAAAATAGCACAAATACTTTGTCTTTTTTTTCTTGAGCTGAAGTTGTATGATTGCTATTAAAACAAAAAGTGCCACATGGGTGCCTCCATCTTTATTGAATGCATAGTGTGTGTAATTTTTATAATTGTTTTTCTCCATCAATTCATTGAATCTTGCTAATAAAACAGAAGTACATAATTTCCAGAATCCAGACAATAATGCAATTGGTCTGTAGTTGGATGGTTGATTTCTCGCGCCTTTTTTAAACAACATGTAGAGTATAACTTTGTTCCAATCCATAGGAGACTTGCCTAAATTGAATAAGTCATTAAAGATTGTAACCAAATAATTAACAATAGTCATCAGAAGATTCTTAATTATGAAATTAGAAACTGCGTCATATCCTGGAGATGTACTCTCTAACATTAAAAAACTAAAAACAAAAATACATTTCCTATATTATATATTTTTTCATATGGTTGGTTCTTTAGTTGTTCATTATTAATAATATTCACTATTATTATTTAAGTAATTGGATGAAAATTCTTTAAAATATTGATGCCAATTAGAGAGAGGCATTAGAAATATGTCGATCGTCCTTGGAGAGCTACGAAAACTATTTATAACATTCCAAAATAATTTGGAGTCTTGACTTATTACAGAGTCACTTATAGTTGAAAAAAAAAAAAAAAAAAAATTCTTTTTAGCTTTTACTAGGCTCCTATATATTTTCTTGTTTTCTAGATACATCTTCAAAGACTGGTCTGAATTTATTTTTTGAAAAATTGTTGTAAGCTTCTTTGTTTAATTTTGTAGTAATAACAAAATTTATTATCAAACCAGTTTTGTTTAAAAATTTAAACTATCTTATTCTTTTTACATTTATAAAACAATATGAATTGAGTGCCACCATTAGATTATATTAGTTCTTATAAAGGTTTGTCTCAATCTTCTCTTGTGATAGTATGTTGTTAATATTTGATCCAAACTCTTAGAAACCTCTGTTTATTAAAAACTTCCCTCTCATCTCCATCTTTTGATTGGGGTGAAGTCTAAGCATCAGTGTTAAGTTTACTTTAACTGGATTCCCTCTTAGTATTAGTTGTGATGAAAAATGGTCTGACGTATCCATATTTAATATTCCCATCAATAGACATTGATCTAGAACAGGTTGAGAACATATAATGTACAGTAATCAATTATAGATTTTCCCGAATAATAAAAGTAAATTCAGAAGGAAAGTCACCTTTCATACTACTGTTCAATATGAATGAATTGTTAGCTTGTGTGAAGTCTAGCAAGGTTTTAACTTCTGTATTCGCAGTTTTGTCCTTAGACAGTCTTCTGTTATTAATGAAAATTGCTTTTTCCTCTGTATTTTAGATTCATTACTTCAATTTAAATGTTGAGGTCTCCACCTATTATCCACCAATTTATAACATTAATCCATGAGTCAATTTTTTGTAATTCTTGTAAACCAAACTTATCAACTGGAGGAGAAAGATAAACCAGAACAATACGAGATTCTCCCCAAACTGATTGCAATTTCTGGTTAATATTTATTACAATAATTATGAATTTATTGGTTATATAGCAATGTAACAACTCACCGAAATGTTTCTTGATCAAAAGCACGAGACCACTAGATGGGCACCCAAATCTAATCCTCTGCGCCTTGCTAACTATCATTATATATTTCTGTTCTAAAAATTCCTTGTCTTCTTTATGCAATTCAGTTAATCACATCTCTGTAAAACCAATGATGGAGTGATATTCCATGTATTTTCTTAAGATTATACTATGTAGCTTTCCTTGCAAGTTTTGAATATTCCAAAATCCTATTGACAATTTATTACTATTGTTACAATTTGTATTTATTATAGGACCAGTATCTATTAAATTGTTGTTAACTATCTGTATATCTATATTGCCAATTTCTTCCTTATCCAATTTAACTTTTCTGAGTTAGTAGTTATAAGTATCTAGAACAACATTCTAATCCCCACCTTATTGGTTCTGAGGATTTAGTCAATTTCTTCCTAAAAAAATTATTTAGTTGTATTACTTTATCTAAGTTAATGTCGTACGTAAATAATTTCTTATCTTGAATATAATAATCATCTCTGATAATTAATTTGTTTCCTTTCAATTTCTCTTGTTTAATTATAGTCTAATTTTTTCTTCTTAGTCTAGATCTTTTGCATAAAATCAGTTGTAAAAATTATTTTTTCCTTTCCTTTGCTAATAGCTTTAGCTTTTAATTTCCAAAATTCTTTCAAAAGCAAATTTCTATTGTACACAGAATCTAATACTATCTTCACAATAGGGTTAGTATCATTATTATTTAGCCTGATTAAGCTTTCTGTAGAGCTATTTTCAATTCTCGGATCATCTCTAATAAACTGGTTGATTTCATTGATAATCAGTAGAGGTAAAAGGAAAATTAATAACTATGATATTATTTTTTTGTTTTCTCATTTATTAATGTGTCTAGCTTGAATTTAAACATACCTTTTAAATGGTTATTGTTCTTAGCTAATACACCTATTTCTTCTATTTTCTGACAATTTTATCAATTTGTCTTGAAAATGCTTATTTTCTTCCTTCGTTATTTTAAAAGTTCTTAATTCCTTGAATTTCTTTATTCCACTGTGAAAAGTTATTTTGTATTAATTCATATAATGATTTTAGAGAATATTGCAGATCTTCTTGTATCAGTTTTCTTGTTCTTTAATTAATCATTAATGATTCAAAATATTCAGGTATTTTCATAACTCTTGTGGTTTCAAAACCATATCCATCATATTGTTCCCCCAACTGAAAGAATTCCTCATTCAATAACTCTTTCACTTGATTTTCCTTAGCTGTCTCGTTAAAAATTTCCTTACATGGCCAACCATACCCCCTCTTTTGCATGTCTGGTTGACTCAAATATTGAGGGGAATGGGGAAGAGGAGCTGGATTAGGTTCTATCCCAGCAATTAATAGAAGACATATGATCAACTGCAACATTAAACTATTAGTGAATATCCACATCCTCAAGACAATCGAAAACCAAACACTTAAAATTTTCTAATACGTTAATATCCAGTTGACAAGCTTTGCTAAAAAGTTCACAAAACACCATCAACGACAAAAATCACACCCCGAAAGATGTGAAGTTGATCATTGTTAAAAATGTTCCAGCTTCAAGAGTACAGGTATACTTCACCTTGCGTCAGCAATTGGTTCCAGGAGAGGCAACATAAGTCAAATTTACTTGTCTCTGTGTTTAATTGTCACTAGGCTAAACCATAAATAACCATTACCAGTTCTGTATTTTATTTATAAATGCTTTTTTTAATAATATATAGTTAATAAGAATCTATTTTAAGCTTACAAACAAATAAATTTTAGTTTTTAATATAGTACAGAAAAAAGTAATCTAAATTTAAGAATTCATGTACAGTACGTACAATTCATAGTTGTAAATGTACCGTACATGTTTACAATTTGGCGATGTTTACAGTACATCGCAGACTATTTGTGAAACTGGTTTGCTCTAAGACATTACAAAATCATCTTTTATAAGGTTAAATAACAAATACCGGTTATTAAAATTATCTTGCAACAGTAGAAAAAAACTAATTTATATTAAATTTACCAATATCGAGTGGCGCTGACAATGACACCAAATGGTAGATATTGGAGCTACCATGGAAAACACCAATATTGAGCACTTAAAGACTGCTAAATAAGACGACAACACAGACATACAGATGTTTTCATGTTTCATTCTCTAGGATTTATGATGATTATACTAACATTTACTGTAAATGTATATATTTTAATATGATTTTGTGCACTTTAACACTTTTCTAGTGATATTACGACTTCAATATTTGTGGACGGACGGACAAAGTCGAATAAAATGATAAACTTAATTTTTATTTTTCCATATATTTTTTTGACAAACGACGTAACTCGAGGTATATCTGTGCATCTTATTGAGGAATTTACAATTAAAAGTTGCACTTTATTTTCTTTTGATTAAATTTTTAAAAAATAACAATTTTAACTTGGTTTTAATTTAGCTAAATTTAATTTATAGAAGATTTCTTCCAAATAGTATCTTATACAAGGGGTGCCAGAAAGATAGTTATTAATGGTCCAAATGGTAAACATCACCATATCAATAACAGATATTTAAAGCACAACTCAAAACATTTTTACACATGTTACCTGGAACAGAAATCACTGATCTAAAAAAATGGTAATATTTTTATGATACACTCTACATTCAGAATTAACAAATTCTTACAAAACACAGAAGTTTTAATGCGTATAAGTTAGTACTTTCACAAAAATAAAAATCTTTGTAGAACCAAAACAGCACCGTACTCATATTCTATTATTTGAAATAATGTTTTGCCATTTAAAATAAGCCTTAAAAAAAAAAAAATATCAATTTCAAATTATCTAAAATTTAATTTTTTTAGAGTTTATTCCAACTAAAATGTTTTTAATTGAAATCCAGTAAAATTACTAAAAAACAAAATTGAGTTATTAAAAACTCAAATGACCCAAGTTTTCAACTATCATTATTCACCTATATTTAGATTTTATAATCAAAATTGGTTCAAATTTAAGAAGAAATTGTTCTATTCTAAAATCAAAATTTTTTGGATCTAAAATACTAAAAATGACAGGCATAATTCAGTAAATTTTCAAATCATGTAACTGACGAAAATTCTGTAGAGAAATATTTCAAAAATTATTATATATAGACATTATTAAAACCCAAATCAGTACATTTTGTTACCACAAAAGTAACAATATATTAAAATGCTGTCTTTGAAGAGGCCCTGAAACAAAATTAATAGGAGGCATGTATCAGTGTAGACAGATATACAGTCAAACCTAGGATTTTGAACAAACTGGTTCTTGAACAAAATTTCTAAAACTCATAATTGCACCAGTTGCCAAATAAGTTACTTGGTAAGAGCCAGCCACAAATTAGTGAGAAAGATGGGTCAATTCCCTACATTTTAAAGAAAGTTGACAACCCGACCAATCAAGGACAAAAAAATCACCGACACAGAAGTTAGTGGCATTGAGATCACCTGACACCATTGGACATCATGACAAAAATCATCATTAAATGTTGCTATTTAAATTACATTTTCGTGCACATGCAGGAAAGATAATACTATTATTTTTCAGCACACACTGCAGTTGTACTTAAAAACCAAAATTAATAAAAAACTATATTAATTGACATTCAAATAATATAAATGGAATTCAAGAATGCGTGTTTAAAAAAGGTACTTAAGTCAAATTAAATAATAAAAATAAAATACAAAATGCACACACGCACATATACACAAATGGACAAAATCAAAAAAGGACTAAGAAAAAAATGGGCATGTATATAAAAACTGTGTGGTTGAAGACCAAGAGGAAAACTATAGTATTGACAACATGTTCAACATGATTTAATATAATAATTATGTTCAAAGGAAGTACACAGGATGTCAAAAGAGGGCATTTTTGTAAAAAAGGTGCATATTGTCTGAAAACATGGCTGTACAAAGAATGCACAATACTTACTACAAACAATCCTGAGTGTCATGTCAGTAAGGGATATAGCCACCGTGAAGTGAGATGCAACTTTGTACATGACATGGCATACTCAGAACAACATGATCCAGGAGCTGTTGAGGCAAGTTGTCCCACTCATTTTTTTACTGCATGGATGAGGGTTTCTGGAAATATATGTCCTTTTGCAATGATGCAAAATATTTAGGCTTTTCACTTAAATAAAAACAATGGGAGGAAGTTTTGGACAGGCTGGGCTTGAGGAGAAGGTTGCTTATAAATATCCAACAAAGAAAGGTACGATATGCTGGACATTTGGCTAGAGGATCAGGAGGACAACTACTAAAGACGGTGATTGGAGGGACTGGTGGAGGAGACGAGACCTAGAGGAAGACCCCGAAAGATTCGGAGAGATAACATCAAAGACTGGACTGGAAAGGATTTAAGAGAGGCCTGGAATAGAGAAACATGGAGAGGAATAGTTCATCAAATGCAACCCTCTGTAGAGAGGATGCCACTGGATAGATAGATAGATAGAAAAACAATGGAGAAGTGTTTCACACAAGTCACAATGTTAGCATTCGAGAGTACCAATTTATATAAAAATTTTCTTAATCCGAAAAATATTTATTTAAAATTTAGATCAAACCATAGCCACATTTGTGACGAAACAGTTACAAAGTAGACATTAATGTCTCATTCCAAAGCCAATTCAGAAAAACATTTCCCATAAACATCTGGTTAATTTCACACATCAGTTTAAGCTACATATTAAGCCATTTGACACCATGCCAGCTATTTTCATGAATCTAGGCTGTCAGCAGCCAGAAGACACACCCCCACTTCTGTTTACATTAACGAAATAACTGAAATTCTTCAAAAAATTACAAGAAATTCGTTTATGTTTTTAAAAAATTATTACAAAACATTAAAATTCATTCTCAAATTAGAACATCTTCAAGCTAAAATCCTTACAGATAATGATTAAAACCTCTTCACTTAAGTGTAAACATTGGTGTAATTTGTATTATATTTGTGTAAATATGCTAGAAGATAAGTATTTTTCTGTATTTAATTAGATAAAAATTCAAAATATTTAATTAATTAATTTGAATTTTAAACAAATATATGAAGTTATTACCTTCACAAGCTTCCTTTGCAGCAACATACTTTGATTTAAGTTCGTCAACAGTAGCTTTCTTCTTAGACTTAAAGCAAGAATCATTTGTCTTCGTACGAACAAGGAGTGTATTTCTCACCAGGCAAGTAACATCTTTGTTTTTTGAAAGTAGCCACCATACGTTGAGCAGACGACAGTTCGCCATGCTGAAACTCTTCGTAAATCCGACACCAGATGTCGTAACGTGAGCTTTACCAAATATCGTCTGGTATATATATAGTAAACCAATAGCGTAGTCTGTTTCGTATGAGACGAACTATGCTATTGGTTGGCTTACTGCATAGAAGCACTCATTTACATAGACTTTAATTATTTAATCTTAAAATTATTTAAAAATTAAGTAATAATAATCTTTAAAAATAAGTAATTAAGTAATTAAAATTAAGTAATAATAATGTTTTAAAATAATTTGAAAAAAGCTTTCATTTTTTTTCAAATTTTCGTTATTTTTTTTTATAGACGGCGTGAGGGAGCGAAGATGGACACGTGTGTCGGGTACCGATCTTGGGGCAAAAACGAGCGTGTAGAATTTTTTTAATTCTGTAGTTTACGTAGAGTTGGGAGCGCCGATATGCATTTGATTTCCCTTATCCACCGACATAAAACGAAAAATAATTTGTTTTATAATGCCATACCTATTAGAAGGGGAAAGACTTTTCGAATGTTTTTTTCTCTGCAGGAACGGGACCTAAAATGTCCCCGATAAACCACCTAAAAAAGTACCTATCATACCGAAACTTTATTCCTGCTCCGTAACCGTAAATATTGGTGATATGTAATAATAACAAATATTTCAAAAAGTTATACTGTTTCAGATTAATATTTACATAGGCAATTTAATCAATGAATGCCAATAGACCCTTTCTATTTATTAGGAGAGTAGGAAGAACATGCCATTTTCCCTTCATAATCTTGCAAATCAAAATTTAGACAAATTCTTCCATATCCAATCTTTGTAAAGATTACATTTCACATTGCAGCCTCATTCCTTGCCATTTAACTGGGTCCACGAGACGGCTGGATGGCGAGGAGCAAGGCTTGAGTTATCTGGAACAGAGCACCCCAATAAATTCCTGGTCTTTTGACCTTGGTGGATTCAATATCTGTTCCTCCAGAGAGGAAATCTGACAAATTTGCCCGCTCTACCACCAGTACCCAAGCTCTTGTGTGTGTGTAACAAGTAAATGTCTCCAAAAATTACAATTATTTAAATTTATCAACACTAAAACATAGTTATTAAAGCACAAAGATGCAACATGCCAGATGTTTTAGTTATTTTTTTTTATTTACTATATACATATCAGTTAGCATTTTTCTGCAATGTCTATCAACAAAGTATACCGATAATACATTTTGATTCATATTGTACAGTACATTTATACTGTAATATGTTTGTAAATAATAGTAACTTCATCAAAATAAAATTTTTTAGATGTGGCAAGCCTACATTAAATTAACTAAGTTACTGTTTTAGGTATACGCATTGCACAATTCAGAAACATGTACATTTGAAAATATTTACCAACAAAAGATACAAAGTACTTAACAAGAAGACTCATCAAAATATGGAATATAACATTTAACTTCACAAATATCAATTTGAAAGCTCAATGTTTTTAAATATTCAGTACTCAATTCTAGATAAACTGAACTCAAAAATTTAAAGTGGCACATTTTCTATGCATAAGACTGTATCCTAGACTTCCAGTTAGAGAATATCTAATAATAAATTTAATGGGTAGTGGAGGATATGATGGTGTGCAGTCTTCTCAAACTCCAGCCATATAATTTGCCAATTCACTTTTTCAAAGCAAATTGTCACCATGTTAAGTTTGGACCTTGAAGAAATCATACCATAAACTAGACATTGTGAAAGAGAAAATTAAGAACTTTGTATTCTTACTATGTATTGATTATGACTCCAATCTCAATATAAACTTATACTTAAATATATGTATAAGTCTAAAAAATATAACCTGAGAATTCATGTGATGGTAATAAGAAGTCTTACAATACCATTTATCATTTTAGTGAGTTTACCACTATTAATATAATTGAAAATTTATGAAAGGATCAGAGTCAAAGATTTAAAAATAAAGTTGAAGTCAGCAATTTTGTATATTGATTATACAATCCTGGTTAATTTCCAGAAGTATAGCCTCAATCTGCAGATTGAACTCATAGAAAATATAATGGTTTGCTTCATAATGGTTTTCCTAGAATAAATTAGATCAGTGGTTCCCAACCTTTTTTCATTAGCGTACCCCGTGACATGTCATATCTCTAGATTGTACCCCTCATTTAAGAAATTTAGTGAGTAACCGTATTGTTAATTTTACATATTGTAACTTTAAATTAAAAGTAAATGAAAAAATGTATAATAAAGTTGTGATTGTTGCAAGGAACATATTTTACCTAATAATTTTTTAATACTATTAGTTTGTGATACATAATATTTTATTTTTTCTGCCATAATAACTAACTTTTTTCTGTACCCCTAAACAACCTATCGCGTACCCCTAGGGGTACGCGTACCACAGGTTGGGAATCGCTGAATTAGATCAAAAACAGAAATCTATTATATTTTGTGCTTTGTTTTTGAAAATATAAGCAAAATTTTGAAATGTAAGACCTAATGTAAAAATTAATACATATTAAACAATTTTTGTTATTTCAGTATTTATATCCATAAAGATGGTCCCAAATAACATTGCTATATAATTATTAAACTTTCATAGTTTGATTCTGCTTGGTCCTGGTTTTTCAGGAACAGTAGATGTGCAACAAGCAATATGTTGTTTGGAATTTATTTCTAAAACTGAGTCTTCTCTGCAATGCAGAGATGATGTGCATTTGTATTTTTGATTTTTCATTTGTTGTGAAGGTATTACATTTAAAGTATCATTATATACAGTGTCATATAGTTCAGAATCACTTTTGTTAAAAATGTGAGGATTGAATGGAACAATACCACAAGCTTCAAAACCTTTAACAGCATTAACAATAGTAGCAGCTTGACAATATGCTTTCCCAAACAATTTACCAGCTATTTTATCTGTAATCACCTCATCTGGATTTGAAACCATAAAATCATTACAAGCTTGACTGTAATAAGCTTTCAGAGAACCAAAAAAACTGACATCTAAAGGTTGTAATATGTGAGAAGTATGAGGAGGAAAGCCGAGCATAATTATTCCGTGGCTTCGACAAATATTAATTGCATCAAGGGAAACGTGCGAAGCATGATTATTCACAAGAAGTAAAACTGGAAATTCTGGTGAACATTTTGAATATTTTATGAAATGTTTTAAATACATCACAAATGATTCTGTTGTCATCCATCCATGTTGCTGAGCAATTGCATCTGTTCCTGGGGGGCATCCTTCAAGCAATTCAGTTCTTATCTTTTCATTAGGAAAGATAAAAAATGGTGGAATATAACATCCTCCAGCATTACAACAACAAACTATAGTTATATTTTCTCCTCTTTCAGTAGAATTGTTTCTGGTTATGAACCTCGTATCAACAGATGATATAGCTTCTGTGGATAAGGTTGGCACGACAGAAAATCCAAATTCGTCATCACAGTTATAAATATAATGGGAAGAGAATGTGTTTTCCATTTGAATATTTTCTAATTTTTCAAAAAATATATCTATTTGAATCCTGTTATATCCCATTGTTCGACCAACTGATGTTGCTTCAGAAGTTCTAAGAATGATCCCGTGTCTTTTCAAAAAACTATTCAGCCAGTCAGAGCCTGCCATTTTATGTTCCTTATTAAAACAATGTGTATTTTTATTGGCTTCTGCTAAATCAAATGCCAATTTTCTACATTGAATGTTAGTAAGACCAAAAATTGCTCTATCAATGTCAATAATATACTGTCGTAATTGTTCCTGCTGTTCTTTATTAAAAACTTGACGAAATCTTCCTCCATGAACTGGTAAATCCTTTAAAAAGGGAAGAAAAATATAGAATTTTTAATAAATAATGTATTCTCTACAGATAAAAAGAACTATAAGAATATTTATTAATCATTATTCCTAAAAATACTGATAATATTAAAATGATAATGAATAAACAACTGTTTACAAGTTAATAATGCCCCTAAGTAAACTATTACTCAATATAAGACTTATAAAAGTATTTAAATGATTCTTATTTATTTTTTATTCTTTATACTCTGCAGGCAATCCAGAGCAACTGGAAACTTAAGCACAGTAAAAGCACATCACGCAATTCAATCTTGCCCACAATGGTATAACTAGGTAAGAGAGGAGGAATAGAGTATGACATCTTCAGAACAATACGCCTATTAAAATTCTTGAGGATCAGATTCTAAATCAAACTTTAGTTCTTCAGATAAGATGGCAATGTACCTTATGTCATCCAGTTATCACATAGTAACTGGTAATAGTAATTCAAACTGTTTTCCTTGCCTTCAAAATTGATTAACATGCCATAACACTAAATTGATGAATGAAATGAAGACAATATGATTATATAACTTTTATCTAATCAATTTTAATAACAAAAAAGTTTATTATTAACTTCTTTCTAATTTCAATCTCTCACATTGGAAACCTTCTATTCTATGTAATATTTTATAGTTTATGTATAAATTGTTGTAAGTTATAGTTGCATTTAAATTGCTTTAATAAGAAGAAATAAATTGAAATTTGTTTAATGGATTTTCCAAAAGCGTGGAATATTATGATTGAACATTAATCAGTTCTTTGAAAAATTGTCAAACTAAAAATTGATGATTAAATATTGAGGAGAATAATGTTAACAACAACCAGGCATTTACAATTCATCATTTTTTTGTTGTTGTTATATTTTGTTATGCTTTAAATTTTTTAATTTTTAATGCATTAACAAATATCAATTATATATTTTCCCAATAAAATTTAGAGGAAAAGTTTACTTTCATTATATGTGAGCTAATTGGAAGTTTCTGCTGAAAAAGAATTTTTGTGGAAAAAATCCACATCAAGAATTCTAAATCTAGAATGATATTATGTTTGATTAACTTATCAATAACTTCTGCTATAGTGAGCTAAGTATTCATAGCCATAACAAACTATTTTCCAAAACAGCTAGCAATACACAGTACAGTATCATGCTGCAAGATATTGATATTGAGAATGCAATGTTGTTATGCATAGAAACATGTATATATATTTGCAAGGCCCTAAGCAAAATTTATTTTTGAGGTTCATTAAAAGAGTAATGGAAGTAGAGAGCAGATTTATTTATGTCTAGAATAATATGTACTGTACAGTGCATTTTTAATATAGAAACAGACAGTAAAACACATGAAGTAATAAAAATGTGTATAATAGTTTTACTATAAATTGGAAAATTCAATAATGCACAGAAATTCACTTATGAAACTTCTCTTCTGCTTTTAGTAGCAATGAACTAATCAATTACAGAAAATAAATGCAGTTTTGCAGCAATATCTCAAAGTTCCAATGGACAAGATTGAAAGTGAAGAGTCTCTCTCAATCTCTGATGCATTGTTATTTGGAGGTAGTTCTTGATCAATTTTAAGTTTGAAAATGATCATTCTATAGATGCAACAGATACCAGTACAGTTATATTTTCAATAATTACCAATTTGATGATTTAAATACAGTAGAGCATCGATTATCCGAATACCAATAAACAGAAACATTGGTTAACCGAAAGTGTTCCAGTCGGCAAATTCAAATTTCTGCTAGGGCTGTGGCATTGCAGCACTCTTCCGTCCCTGCCAAACTGAACTGTAGGCCTAGTTTAATGTATTACATTATGTAAGGTATGTATTTGTAAGACATGTGATACAAATTATATACAGTACAGTTTTGTGTTTAATATATTTTTTGGTAAACGATCAGTTATCCGAACAACCCCAGTCCCGAATTGTTTCGGATAATTGATGCTCTACCGTACTAAAATATACTATCGAATTTGCAAACCCTACATATTGTGTTTTTTTTTCTATTTGTACACCAATTCTGATGACATGAAGCATAGTTCCTGGTGTTTTACAGCCTACACAACATTGCCTATTCTCAAGTGTATTTAATAATTTCAATCTTTCAACTTCAGATGATAAAACTATTACCAGATATGAAACATGTTCGCTTCAAGGCCTACTGATAATTAGCAGAAAATAAAAAATACAATATTTAATACTTTTAGCTATCAGAAATTTTTTCTGACAGTGAGTTAATGTTAACAATAATTTTCTGCTTTTAATAATTTCATCTGCTTTTCATGCAGAAAATAGAAAGAAATTTTTACAATAAATCAAGATGACAAAGAAGTAATAGATGTTTAAAAATAAAGTTGGATTAAATTAAGATTTCAGTAAATATTTTGGTAAAAAATGAAGATACAAGCATAAAAATAATCAATATACATCAAGTTGTAATATAAATTGCATGGCAATATTGATGCAATGGAAAGAGACTCCCAGATAAACTGACGAGGATCGAAGAACACTATTTACCTGGGAGTCTCTTTTCATTGCATCAATTTCATTGTGTACCCCAGTCATTAAAAATTTTGTAACTTTATATATTTCAATTATGTTCCAAGCTGTTATGAAGAACAATTTTGAAAAATGTTCCTTACTACTTGAATTCCATTTTTCAAATAGTAGTATTCTGTTGTCTGAGTATGATAGCATTGCCTGAAGAGGGCAGTTATAAACTGTCAAAAGTATTTGTGTAAATAAATCTTTTCCGTAATGCCAACAGACAATTGTGTTGTTAATTTTTTAAATCTTAATTCATTGAAGATAATGATAACTGTTTGGTGGTCAGCTACAGATCTGGTACACTTTGACTTTCTGCCTCTCGATGAAATCATCACAATTGAAAGATACTGTCATCAAATTGATGTTATGCATTAAAACTATCCAAAATTCAATCTGTTTTGGTAAACCAAAAGGGTCCCATTCAATTGTATGATAATGCTAAATCTCATGTTGCCTTTCTAACAATATAGAAACTTGGTCCACTGAAGTATGAAATCATACCTCACCCACAATACTCTCCTGACTTTTTCCCGAAAGTCTATCACATATTCAAACATTTTGACCACTTTCTTTGTTGAAAAATATTCCATAACTATAAAGCAATTGAAAAAGCTTTCCAGGAATTTCTTGCATCCATGACATTTTATGAAGATGGCATCAATATTATGCCATCTAATTGGCAGAGGTATAGAGATGTCCAGGGTGTCTACTTCAATTAATAAAGTTAATTGTTGAATAAGTTCTGACTCTTCATTTCTACTGTTCATAAACTGACAGTATTTATGTTGCACCCTGATAATCTAAGCACAAATGTGGAAATTTCTGTTCATTAAGATGAAATTTACTAATTAAAAAATACAATTTGCCACACAAGTTGAGTAGACATACCTCATTCTTCTTCTTTGCGTAACGTCTTAAAGTTGCTTCCGGTACTTCATATGTTTTTGCAGCTAAGTTGCAAGACATGTTTTCCTCTTTCACAGCATGAAGTGCTGCAATCATATTAACATCAGACCATGAACGACGATTAGAAATTTTTTTATAATTTCTAACCATCTGAAAATAGAATCACAGTTCTTAGAAAGAGAAATAAGAATTTACAATGATTTTTTTTCATTATAGAAAAATTATTATACACTACAATTATTATTGTATTCTTTATATAGATTAAAGAATTTTATTAATTGTTATATTGTGCTATAACTATTTGACATATAGAAATATTAATTTCCACTCATTCTATATCATATTATCAGATAAAAGTTTAAGAGCACTGTCTGTCAGCATTAACAAAATAAAATCTTTAAAATTGCTTTTTATTAATAAAAGACCAAAGGGCTTATTTCTTAAAAAAATACAGTTACACATGTAAATTAGATTTTGCAATCCTTCTAAATATTATTTCTAAAACACTAATTTACATTATTATTAAATATTATTTCCCTATAAAGCATTCAAGGAAGTTATTCATTTCATAACAAAATAAACACTTTATATAAGTTAAGATTAGGATATATAAACCCGTATTTACTGTATCATATTTTGTCTCGATACATATATACATATCTATAACGACAAAACACTTGCTTTTATGGAAAATTTCTTATTCTACATGCCATTACTCTACATTCCAGATGATAAATCATTTTAACCAGGAGGCACATCTCATTTCGGAGAGATAAGATCGTATGTTGTATTGCAGACTGCATATGTAAAATTTCATATAACAACTTATAAAGTAAAAACAATCAAAAATATTGAAAATGTACTATTTATTAGCAAGATACTCTTTAGTATCTGAAAAGTGAAGAAAAATAATGTCCAAAACTTATTTCTATATTATACCATTTTATATTTTATTGGTCCATGTTAGAGAAGTCAGAAAAAGACTCATAAAGCCCTAATGCTGCAGGTTCTCCCTCTGCTCTAAACATTATTTTCTGAAAATATATCCATAAATGTATAGAGATGATTATTACAAGAAATAAAACTTTTGTATTCAATAGTAAATATACAGATTTGTATTTTGTTACTTATGTATTTACAACAGGTGGTTAAGAATTATAGTGACAAGTATTAATGAATAAATAATTGAAAGTTTATTTAAAAAAAAGAATTAAATTCAAATGAAAGATATTGTCACGTAATATAACAGCCACATGTTTAAACAATTATCTATTATCTTATATTCTTCCTAGTTCCTACATAAACAGCTGACAGAACAATACTCTTGTCACGTGTTCTATGCACAGAACAATACTCTGGTCACGTGTTCTAAGTACAGAACACTACACTGTGTGTATTTTTTCAAATACAGTTTATCTGAAAGAAAACTCAAAAATTAATTAAAATAACTGAAAAATCAGTATTAATCAATCGGAAATAATGAATTATAAATAATTACCTCGTAATTTTTCACTTGTATGTCAACAGAGGGGCAAGACGACGACTTCGTCAACTTACCCCCGCCATGTTGGATCTTTTCTTAATTCCACGTTCCACGAAGTTTTTTAATTACGATGCGAAAAAATAATATTCATAACTATAATTACTTATTTTTTAATATAAATTTATATTTATTTTGTAAAAAAAAATAATTTAAAATTATTTTTATATTATAGGAAACCTCGTATTATATTTTCCAGATCTTTGTTTTTTTTTTTTTGAAACATTATTAAGCTAGAGGACCATGTTGCCGATTCATTTATCATTTAATTAATATACTTTTTTTAAAAAAAGTTATTAGGATTAAATATTAAATTTTTTAACATTTAAAAA